CCTGAAGTTCTGGTAAGCCATTCGCCACCTGGCGATTTGAGCCAAAAGGGCCTCGTCTGTGGCAAAGGGAGAATCTGCTGCGTAAGCAGCAAAAGGAGAAAGCAAGTTTGCTGCTTCATTTCCGGAAATGCCTTCTGGCAAAGAAGTGTGGGGCCCCACACCTTGCTGCTGCTGCTGCTGCTGCTGCTGCTGCTTCTCCGCGACTTTGCGCAGCGCTGCACCCACTTCCCCCTTCGCCCCCTTCGCGTAGCCCAGCCGGTGCAGCTGGTAGTCCTGAACAGCCCCGCCGCAAGGGTTTAGGGTTTAGGGTTTAGGGTTTAGGGTCCAGGGATCAGGGTTTAGGGTTCAGGGGCCAGGGCGTAGGGTTTAGGGTTTGGGGTTTCGGCTGCTGGGAGCTGCAGGGGGGCCCCGAGAAGAGGCCAGCAGCAGCAGCGGGGCCGAAAAGGGCTTAGGGTTTAGGGCTTAGGGTTTAGGGCTTAGGGTTTAGGGTTTAGGGTTTAGGGTTTGGGGTTTGGGTCTGAGGGTTTTTGCGGACTTTTCGAAAGCGGAGAATCGCGGGGTGGTCGAGGACTTCGAAAACGGGGCGGGCGAGGTGCAGCGCCTCGTGGTCTGCAGCAGCAGCAGCTTCGCAGCCAGCAGCAGCCATGGTGCCAAGACAGGAGGAAAGCGGGGGAAAGCGCGGCCCTTTTGCTGCAGCCAAAGGCCCAATTGGAGGGGAATATAATTCCAAAGAAAAGGCTTTTCAGCAGCTCCAAGTTGGTGGCTTTTGGTTGGCCTACGCGGCAAATGCAGAACTTGAACGAAAGCAGTCACGGAAAACATGAACTGCGGCGATCCGCAGCCGTTTCAGCTCCTGCGAAGCTCAAAAGGAGCTCCAATGAACGAAAAACAACAAACAATGCTATTTAAGTTTTCAAATTTCGAGAAAAGTCGCGGTCGAAGGCTGAAACTGCGGTGGTGGTCTCACTCGGTGCACACTTGGCAGAGGCTTCTGCTGAAAACAGGAAATGCGCGGAAACTGCAGGCAAAGACAAGCTCGGGGTTTGCAAGGAAATAACAAAATTAATTTCAAGTTTGCAATTCGAAAAGATTCTTTCTTTGGTGACTTGCGCATTCTTCTTCCCTTCGCCGCTCTGTGCCGCTGGGCGACCGCCAGCAGACCAGCGGTGTCTGTAGCCTGACTGACAGACAACCCGCCGCTTCTTTTCAGCTTTTTCTTTCTTCTCTCTTCAAGCTTTTAATTTATTATTATTTTTAAGCGTTTTTAACTTGTAAGCGCCTCAAGAAGCAGCAGTTTCAGCTTTCGTTTGGCGCGCCTGCAGCGGCGCACGCGCACACTGTGCTGCCGTTCATGTTCGGCAGTTTTGGCTGTCCGCAGTCTATACACGCAAATTTTATTCACTTTCTTCGTTTCCATTTATTCTTTAATGCTTTATTCTTTATTTTTATTTGCAGTTCTGCGCTGGGGCCCTTAGACTGTGGCCGCTGGCCGTCGAGCCCAAGACCGTGTCTGCGCTGCCGCGCCCGGCAGGGGGCGCAAAAATAGGAATTCTGCTGCTGCAGCAGCAAATGCGGGCTTGAAAGCTTTTTAATAAATTAATTTTCAATTTGTTTTTAAGTCATTTCAGCAGCTGCTGCCGATCTTCTATTTCAGCAGCTGCGCTTGCCTGCAGCAGCGCCGAGCAGCAGCAGCAGCAGCAGCAGCACACACAGCCAGCGTGCACAGACAAAGCACGCGTAGTTAACAGAAAACTAGCAGCAAAAAGTAATTAAAATTGCATTTAAATAAAATTGAAATCAATTTGTAATTCCAAAGATATCATTTCCCGGGAGAACCCCGAGCAGCGCCGCATCGGGCTCGTGGAATCCCTAAACCCTAAACCCTTGTCCTAAACCCTAGACTCTAGCTCTAAACCCTAAATGCCAGTTCTAAACCCTAAACCCTAGCTCAACACCCTAAACTCTCGCTGCGAACCCTCAGTTCTAGCTCTACAGCGCAAACCCTAACTACAGAAGTTAAACCCTCGCCGAAAACCCTAAACCCTAAACCCTAAACCCTAGCTGCCTAGATCGAACACAACTCTAAAAACAGCCAACTCTACTGTCCATCCGAGACTGCTGCTGGTGAAGCAACACTGCGGCGCTGCGGTTACGCGCAGCAGCAGCAGCTGCTGCTGCAGCAAGTTGCTGCTGCAGCAGCAACTTGGAGATTTGTGCTGCAGCAACACGCAACTGCAGCAGCAGCAGCAGCAGCTGCTGCTGCAGCAAGTTGCTGCTGCAGCAGCAACTTGGAGATTTGTGCTGCAGCAACACGCAACTGCAGCAGCAGCAGCAGCAGCAGCAGCAGCAGCAGCAGCAGCAGCAGCAGGGGTTAAATGGAGAAGGAGCAGCTGAGGCCCAGGTTGCCCAGGCCCTCCACGCCGCGCACAAAGCCCTGCTGCCCCAAAACAGCAGCAGCAGCAGCAGCAGAGTCATCAGGGACACAAGTGAAGTTTAGCTGCAGCTTCCCGTGTCTTGCTGCAGCAGCAACTTGGAGGTTTGTGTCTGGGACTCTGTAGGCTGCGCCCAGGGAGAAGGGCCTGGGCTGCTGCTCCTGCTGCAGCTGCTGCTGCAGCTGCTGCAGCAGCCCCTGCTGCTGCTGCACCACCCGCAGCAGCGTCTCCGCCTGCTGCTGCTGCTCGCTGCGCTGCAGCCGCAAACCCTTCAAGTGCTGCAGCAGCTGCTGCTGCAGCAGCTGCTGCAGCTCCCGGCAGCCCCACCGCTCTCGAACTTGGCCCGAAGGCACGCACTGCTGCAGCAGCCGCCCAAACTCTTTTGTTGCTGCTGCTGCTGCTGCTGCTAGCTGCTGCTCGGGGTCTGCTTCTTTCCTGCTGCGGCTCCCCTCGGGACTGTCTGCTGCAGCAGCAGCAGCAGACCCAGAAGCAAACGGCTGCAGCAGCAGCAAAATCTGCTGCTGCATTTGCTGCTGAAACAAACCCTTCGCCTCGCTGTCCACGTAGGCCTCTAGCTGGCCCTCTGCGCGCTGCAGCACTCCCTCATCTGCTGCTGCTGCTGCTGCTGCTGCTGCTGCTGCTGGCCCTTTTACAATGTCCCTTAGCCTTTTCTTCGCTGCAGCAGCAACAGCAGCAGCAGCAAGCTCCGTTATGGGGAGGGCCTGCTGCTGGTCCTTTTTTCCAGCTGCTGCTGCTGCCATTAGTCCTTCCTGCGGCTGCTGCAGCGGTTGCTGCTGCTGCAGCTGCTGCAGCTGCTGCAGCAGCACGGCGTTCAGCTGCTGCCGCAGCCGCCCCAGCTGCTCAGCAGCAAGCGCAAGAGCTGATCCAACAGCTGCTTCCACGGGGTCTGGTGCTTTTGCTGCAGCGCTGCTGCTGCTGCTGCTGCTGTCGCTGCTGCTGCTGCTGCTGCTGCTGCTGCTGCTGCTCGCAGCCTTGCTGCTGCAGTCCTCTTCAGGGGCCCCAGGGGCCCCCCCCGCCTTCTTTTTGCTTCGCAGCAAATTTCGAAGGGCCCCCAAGGGCTCTGCAAACGCTAGGGGCAGAAGGCCCCGCTGCTGCTGCTGCTGCTGCTGCTGCTGCTGCTGCTGGGCTGCACAGCTCGGGAGAACGCGGCTTTGGGGGCCCCACAGGGGGGCCCCCAAGTGCGTTGGGGGGCCCCCACGGGGCAGCAGCAGGGGGGCCCCCTGAGGTGCAGCAGCTAGCAGCAAGATGCAGCAAAGAAAGAACAAAGTTGAGGCGGAGGGGCCCCCCTGGCAGCGCCGCTGGGGGCCCCTTGAAGCTCTCGGGCACTGCTGCTGCTGCTGCAGCAGCTGCTGCAGCAGCAACCTCTGCAGCAGCAACAGCATTTCTCTCGCCGCTGCAGCAGGGCGAGCTGTGGGGCGCAGCAGATGCAGACGCAGCGCAGCAGCAGCGCAGCAGCAGCGCAGCAGCAGCGCCAAGCACGGGCTGCAGCAGCAGCAGCAGCAGCAGCCCTGGCTGCAGCAGCAGCAGCACTGGATGCAGCAGCAGCAGCAGACAAAGAGAGAGGGGACTCGGGGGCCCCGTAAGACACACAAATAAGACGGGGGCCCCACAGGCGCTGCAGGCAAGCCGCTGACCCGAGTGTAAACCCTAAACCCTAAACCCTAAACCCTAAACCCTAAACCCTAGAGCCAGTTTTGTCTCTAGGTGAAAAGACAGAGACAAGTTTAGATGAGTCTCTCTGCCCAGCCGCGAGGCCATTGAGAGCCCAACGCCCCGGCCCTAAACCCTAAACCCTAAACCCTAGACCCCAAACCCTAATTCCTAAACCCTAAACCCTAGATTAGAGTACTATTTTGAGAACACATTTGCTTCTTTGCTGCAGCACAGCAGCTCCAAACCACCAAGGCCTGTGGCTAGGGGCCCCCTAGGGCCCCCAATTTCAGGAAGCGAGAATTTTGTTTTATTTGTTTTATTTGTTTCAAAAGAATAAAAATAAAATATATTTAATCCCCCTTTTCTTAGAAACTTAAGGGGGGCCCCCAAGGCTGGCAGGGGCCCCCAATTCTGAAACCCTGCAGATCCTTGGGGGCCCCCATGGCGCTGAGGCCCCTGGCCAGTGGCCTCTTGGGGGCTGGGTTTGGGGCTGCAGCGCGAGAGGGTTTCCCTGCAGCAGCAGCAGCAGCTGCTGCTGCTGCTGCTGCTGCTGCTCCCGCTGCTGCTGCTGCTGCTGCTGCTGCTGCAGGGGCGCAGCCACTCGGCTGCTTGCCTAAGGGCCAAAATAGGGGCCTCAGCATCTGGAGCGCCTTGAAGTCCTGGGGCCCCACAAAGGCAGCTGAGAAGCCTTCAGCAGCTAATGAGCAGCAGCAGCAGCAGCAGCAGCAGCAGCAGCAGCAAGGTGCTGCAGCGTTCGGGGCGCAGCAAGCCCCCAGCCGTGTGCCTGACCCCGGAGCATCCGCAGGTGACGCAGCAGCAGCAGCAGCAGCAACAGCAGCAGCAGCAGCAGCAGCAGCAGCAGAGGTTCCGTTTAATGTGATTCAATCAAGTTTTGCCCGAAAGGGGCCCCCAGGGGGCCCCCCGGGAGTGCTGCTGCAGTCCGCAGCAGCAGCAAAACCCCTCACGCCCCGCAAGCCCAGGGGCCCCTTCAAGGGGGGCCCCTACAAGGGGGGGCCCCCCGTGTGGCGTGCTGCTGCTGGCTGCTGGGAGCCGCTGTCTGCTGCTGCGCTGCAGCAGCAGCTGCATGCAATTTTTGCTGCTGCTCCAGTCCGAAGGCAAGAGAGAAGGCGCTGCAGCTTTATTCCTTTTGAGAGGGTCACTTACAAGCCCTTGGGGCCCCTGCTGACGCGTTTGTCCAAGTGCGAGCTGCTTCTTGCTGCTGCTGCTGCTGCTGCTGCTGCTGCTGCTGCTGCTGCTGAGGCTGCTCCTGGGGCTGCAGCGGGGGGCCGCGCGCCGGCGGCAGCAGCGCAGCAGCAGCAGCAGGCTGGGGCTGCTGCTGCGGCGAAGCAGCAGCCGCAGCAGCAGCAGCAGCCGCAGCAGGCGCCCGCCGCTGCAGCAGCAGCAACGCAGCAACAGCAGCAGCAGCAGCAGCAGCAGCAGCAGCAGCAGCAGCAGGCGCTGCTGGCGCAGCTACTGGACTTCTACAGCACTGGGGGCTGGGACTGCCACTTGGGGGCCCCCCAAAGACTTCTTGCTGCTGGAGGGGTTAGGGTACTAAACCCTAGTAGGACCCGGGGGGCCCCCGAGGGGGCCCCCCCCGACATCACAAGGGACCAGTTCTTCTCCTTCGCAAAGGTTAGGGTTTAGGGTTTAGGGTTTAGGGTTTAGGGTTTAGGGTTTGGGGCGGGGGGCTCAGGGTTTGCGGGGGCAGGGTGGCGCGTCGACCCAGGGGGTAGGGTTTGGGCGAGGGTTTAGGGTTTGGAAGGGAAATAAGGGTTTGAGCGAGGGTTTAGGGTTTGGGCGAGGGTTTAGGGTTTCAAGGAGGGTTTAGGGTTTCAAGGAGGGTTTAGGGTTTGGAGGGAAGATTAGAGTGTGTTCGAGGGCTCAGGGCTTGCCCGAGGGTTTAGCGTTTGGAGAGTGTTCGAGGGTTTAGGGTTTGCTTGAGGGTTTAGGGTTTAGGGTTTAGGGTTTAGGGTTTAGGGTTTGGGGCGTTTTGGTGTCTCAGGGTTTTTATTCAAGTTTGCTGAAGGCCCAAATGCCTCGAGGAAGACCCCCTTTGGTGGCTAGTGGCAAGGGGGGCCGCGGGGGTCTTAGGGTTTAGGGTTTAGGGTTTAGGGTTTAGGGTTTAGGGTTTGGGGCTCACAACGAGGCCTCGCAGCCCCTAGGCAAGGGCCTAACTGCAATTTCGAGGTGAAGTGCTTCCGGACGCTCGAAGCCGTTAGGGTCTAGGGTTTAGGGTTTAGGGTTTAGGGTTTAGGGTTTAGGGTTTAGGGTTTGGCAGCACATGATGAACTTCAGGGCCTACGGTTTGGCCCTGCGTAGCTAGCCAGCAGTCTGGCTAGCTAGTTAGACAGCTAGCTAGCTAGCTAGCTAGATAGCCAGCTAGACAGCTAACTAGAAAGCTAGCTAGAAAGCTAGCTAGCCAACTATATGGTTAGTTGGCTAGCCAACTAGCCGTATCGCTAGCTAGCTGGCTAGCTAGCTAGCTAGATGTGAAGCACCTAGCTAGCTAGCTAGCTAGCTAGCTAGATATGAAGCACCACGCAGGTGAAGGACAGCTAAATAGATGGCTACGTGGCTCCTTACCCAGCTGGCTAGCTAGCTAGCTACCCCACTAGCAGCTAGCTAGGCAGCTAGCTGGCTAGCTGCCCTGCTAGCTGCCTAGCTAGCCAACTAGCTATCTACTAGCCGGCTAGCCAACTGCCCAGCGAGCCATCTAGCTAGTCAGCCAGCTAGCCAGTTACCAGCGAGCTATCTAGCTAGCCAGCTAGCTAGCAGCCAGCTAGCTTGCCAGCTAGCTAGCTAGCTACGAAGCTGCCGAGCTAGCCACATAACTACACAGCTAGCCAGTGCGTCGCCTGCGCAGGGGGGCCCCCGGGGTGGTGGTTTAGGGTTTAGGGTTTAGGGTTTAGGGTTTGGGCTGGCAGCTGAAGGACCCCTTTAGGTCCGGCGAGAAGGCGCCAAAGCCCCAAAGTTTGCATGCACGCTTTTGCATGCATGCAGAGGGGCCCCCAGGGGGGCCCCCAGAGGGGCCCCCAGGGGGGCCCCCAGAGGGGCCCCCAGGGGGGCCCCCAATTCAAAAGGCGGCTGAAAGATAAAAGAAAAGAAACCTAGGGGCCCCAAAAAAAGGGGGCTCCTACAAAGAGGGGGCCCCCAGGAAGAGAGGGGCCCCTAGGAATGGGGGGCCCCTTCAGGGGGGCCCCTAATCGGGGGGGCCCCCAGGGAGAAGGGGGCCCCTAGGCAGGGGGGGCCCCCAAGAAGAAGGGCCCCCATGGCAGGGGGGCCCCCGCATATCAATGGAAAAAAAGCTGATGAGCAGCAGCAGCAGCAGATGCTGCAGCAAACGCATACCCATTAGTACCCTGAAACTTCACCCCCGGGGGCCCCCGGGGGGCCCCCGGGGGCCCCCGGGGGGCCCCCAGTACCCTTTCAGATGGCCGCAGATTCGCATGGGGCCCCCCGAGGGGCCCCTCTGACATAGGCCTCAGCAGAGGCCTCCGGGGGGCCCCCTTTGGTTCATATCGCTAAAGAGTACCCCTTTAGGGGGCCTCGAGGGGCCCCCCAAAACCCCTTTTCTTGCCTTATGGGGGCCCCCACGGGAAGCTTAAAGAACTCTTGGGGGCCCCCTTAGGGGGCCCTAGGGGGCCCCCGTAGAGGGCCCTAGGGGCCCCCCTTAGGGGCCCCCTAGGGCCCATCTTTAGAAACCCTTGGGGCCCCTTAGGGGCCCCCAAAGAAACGACTTCAGGGGCCCCTCTGGGGCCATCCTTTGAAAGGCCTCTGTGGGGCCCCTTTTGGGGGCCCCTCTAAGGGGCCCCCAAGGGGGCCCCCCAAGTGGCCCTCTCTAGGGGGCCCCCCAAGGGGGCCCCCGGGAGGGGCCCCCCTTTAGGGGGCCCCCTCATTGATGTTTGCATGCGCTGGCTCATCTTGGGCTGGCCATGCTCCGAAGAAAAGGGTATAAATTTCTTCCCAGCTATCGGTCTGAAATATTGTCTTTTCTGCTGCTGCTGCTGCTGCTGCTGCTGCTGCTGCTGCTGCTGCTGCTGCTGTCGGATAAGCCTCCTTCTTCCCACCCCACAGATAGCTACAGCTCTGGAGAGCAGCAGCCGCGGGGGCCCCCAGGGGGCCCCCCAGGGGGGCCCCTAGGGGGGCCCCCAGGGGGGCCCCCTGGGGGGCCCCCTGGTGTGCATGCAGGCAGTCCAGGAGGTGCCTCAGGGGGGAAACTTTGAGGGAACAGATTCGGAAAGTCTGAAGAGCAGCAGCAGCAGCAAAAGGTTATTAAGAATAAAGTTTTGTTTTAGAATCTTTTGGAGATTTAATTTATATTTTTAATTTGGAATTAAAAATATAATTCACCTTCAAAGAAGACACAGAACCAATCAAGATTGCTATGTCTGCATGCAGCAGCGCAGCAATGTCGCCGTCGCTGCACAAACGCCCGCAGCAGCAGCAGCAGCAGCAGCAGCAGCAGCATCAGCAGCAAAACTCGAAGCAGCAGCAGCAGCGTAGTCAGCAGCAGCAGCAGCAGCACAGCCAGCAGCACGACCAGGCGCGCCAGCGGCAACAGAAACAGCGGCAGCAACAGCAAAAACGGAAACAGGAGCAGCTGCAGCAGCAACAACAGCAGCAGCAGCAGCAGCAACAGCAGCAGCAAGAACAGCAGCAGCAGCAGCAGCAGCAGCAGCAGCACGGGATTTACGAGTCGCCGATAAAAACTGTGAGACCCCCAGGAGCAGCCGGCGCGCCAGAGGCATTGTTTCCGAAACCATTCTCAGCTGCAGCAGCAGCAACAACAGCATTTTGCTGCTGCTGCTGCTGCTGCTGCTGCTGCTGCTGCTGCTTCCTGATTTCTGCTGCCCACTGCTGCCTCTTTTCAAGGGCCCGGCGTTTATCCGAAAAGGCAACAACACTGCGGATCAACTCGCCTGCCCACAGCAGCAAACCCCAAACCCCAAACCCCAAACCCTAAACCCTAAACCCTAAACCCTAAACCCTAAACCCTAAACCCTGGAGCCTGTCTGCGCTCTTGGTGTTGCTGCTTCAAGCTGCTCAGTCCGTCAACCTCCGAGCCCCAAACCCTAAACCCTACGCCCTCAGCCTCGCCAAACCCTAAACCCTAAACCCTAAACCCTAAACCCTAAACCCTAAACCCTCACCGGTGGTGACCCCGTGTTCGTCCACCTCCAGCTCGTTGGCATCCACAGACAGCAGCGGAGTGTCGAGAGGAAAGTGTTTTCCTTTTGCTGCCAAGGCAGCCAGCGTGCGCCCCGCAAAGTCCCCGCTGCTGCTGCTGCTGCTGCTGCTGCTGCTGCTGCTGCTGCGGGCGAGTGCTGCTGCGCCTGCAACAGCAGCAGCATTCACGCTGCTGCTGGGGTTTGGCAGCAGCTCTTGCCGCAGCACAAGACCCAGAAGCCGCCGCAGCGCCTGAGTCACCAGTCTGCTGCTCCAGGCCAAAGAAATGAAAGACACAGGAACTCCGGACTGCAGCAAACGCAGCAGCGTCTGCAGCAGCAGCAGCAGCAGCAGCAGCAGCAGCAGCAGCAGCAGCGGCAGCAGGGGAGAAGTGTGTCGCGGAAGCAGCGGCGAAGGAAGCTGCGAAGTAGTGCCGCGGCAGCAAAAGATGCAGCTGCAGCAGCAGCAGCATGAAACCAGCAGCAGCAGCATGAAACCAGCAGCAGCAGCAGCAGCAGCAGCAGCAGCAGCAGCAGCACTGGACAGGCAGCAGCAGCAGCAGCAACAGCAGCAGCAGCAAGTGACGCGCCAACGCAGAAAATAAATGGAAAAGAGAAAAACAGAAGAAGCAGCAAAACAGCAAAAACAAAAACAACAAATGGATTTCAAAAAATAAAAATCAAAAAAGAAAAAAAGAAAATACAGAAAAAGAAAATAAGGAAATGTAATAATGAATTAAAAGACTGAAATGGTATTTTAAAAATAAATTACAAACAAATAAAAAACAAATAATAAATGAATAATAAATAACAAACAAATAATAAACAAATAATAAATGAATAATATATAAACAATAAATAAACAATAAATAATATATAAATAATAAATAAATAATAAATAAATAATAAATAAATAACAAATAAATAATAAATAAACAATAAGTAAATAATCAATAAACAATAAATAAATAACAAACAAATAAATAATAAACACAAGAGAAACAGAAACAAATAAAAAAGATCTAAAAGGAAATAAAGAAAAAAATAAAACAACAGAAAACAAAGCAAAATAAACAAACAAAATAAAAACCAGATTAATTAAAATAAACAAACAAATAAAACAAATAAGTGAATAAGTAAATAAATAAATAAATAAATAAATAAATAAATAAATAAATAAATAAAATTAAAATTAAATTAAATTAAATTAAATTAAAAATAAATTTACCTCAAGTGCTGCTGGCCGTGGCGTTTGAGTTGGACTTTTGGGAGAGAAAACCAAATTGTCAATATCGCCTGAAATCAAATAAATAAATAAATAATTTAATTTAATTTAATTAATTTAATTTAATTAATTTAATTTAATTTAATTAATTTAATTTAATTTAATTAATTTAATTTAATTTAATTAATTTAATTTAATTGATTTAATTTAATTAATTTAATTAATTTAATTTAATTTAACGAATTTAATTTAATTCATTTAAGTTATTTAATTTAATTTAGTTTAATTGAATTTAGTTTAATCTAATTTAATTAATTTAATTTAGTTGATTTGATTTGATTTGATTTAATTAATTTGATTTAATTAATTTGATTTAATTTGATTTAATTTAATTTGATTTGTAAAAAGGAACTGAAAAGAAGATTTGAGAAGTGAAGGGATTTAAAAGTGAAGACAAAAAAGAATTAAATTAAATTAAATTAAAACTAAAATTTAATTTAATTTAATTTAATTTAATTTAATTTAATTTAAATTGAATGAATTAGAAAGAAATCGAAAGAAATTTTAAGAATTAAATAAATAAAAGAAACAAAACAACGAAGTATATAAAAAGAAAGAAGAAGAATTAAATAAACGAAAAGAATTAAATAAATAAAAAGAGTTAAACAAACAAAAAGAAACAAATAAAAAGAATTTAAAAAAATAAAGAATTAAATAAAATAAATAAAAAGAATCAAATAAATAAAAAGAGTTAAATACATAAAAAGAATCAAATAAACCAAAATAAACAAAACAATTAAAATAAAATAAATAAAATAAATAAAATAAATAAAATAAATAAAATAAATAAATAAAATAAATAAATTAATTAATTAATTAATTTAATTAAATAAAATAAATAAATAAAATAATTCGCTGACTATTTCGAATTCCCTTGAGGAGTTTTTTGGTGTTTTGCGTCGAAGCCATTTGCTGCTCATAATTGTCTATTGCATGCAGCAGCCCGGCCACGCAGCCCCCGAAGTGCTGCTGCTGCTGCTGCTGCTGCAGCTGCTGCTGCTGCTGCTGCTGCTGCTGCGGCTGCTGCTGCTGCTGCTGGTTGGGATGCTGCTGCTGCTGCGCGTGCTGGTCGCGCTGCTGCTGCTGCTGGTTCTGGTCGTGCTGCTGCTCCTGCTGCTGCTGGTTCTGCTGCTGCTGGTGCTGCTGCTGCTGGTTGTGATTGTGCTGCTGCTGCTGCTGCTGCTGCTGTTGCTGCAGGAAGCGGTTTATGACAGCAGCATAGCCGGAGCTGTAAACGCGGACAGCCTCTGCTGCTGTGGCGTCGAAGGATGCTGTTGCTGCTGCTGCTGCTGCAGCGGCGGCGTCGGGGTCCGTTTCTGCTGCTGCTGCAGTTGCTGCTGCTGCAGCACGCGCAGCAGCAAACAAAGCGTCCGTGCTGTCCCCACAAGGGACCTGGGGGGCCCCCGGGGGCCCCTCTGGCAGCTTTTTGTAAAGAATAGTTCCATCCACATCTACAGCCACCAGCAGCAGCTGCTGCCAGATCCCCTGGGGGCCTGACACGAGCTGCTGCTGCTGCTGCTGCTGCTGCTGCTGCGCCTGGGGGCCCCACGCAGCCGCTGCAGCAGCCGGAGCAGCAGCAGCAACAGCAGCAGCAGCAGCAGCAGGCGGCGCTGCTGCAGACCCAGTCCCCATGGGCCCCTCTCCGGGTGCAGAGAAGCCGGGGAGAGCTGTCTGTACACCTGAAGGAGCTGGCTGTACACCTGAAGGAGCTGCCTGTACACCTGAAGGCGCTGCTGCTGCCTGTACACCCGAGGCAAAACCCCACACAGACAGACCTGCTGCTGCTGCTGCTGGGGGGCCCCCCAAAGAGTGTCTTTTTAAGTTGGGCTCATTGCCGGGGGCAGCAGCGGGAGGGCTGTAGGCGGCGGCTTGCTGCTGCTGCGGCACTGGAGCGCTGCTGCTGCTGCTGCTGCGGTTGCTGCTGCTGTCATGCTGAGCTTGCGTCGTAATTGCGCACTGCAGCAGCTGCATGCACACCAAGGCACACAGCAGCAGCAGCTGCTGCTGCTGCCGCGCCATCTCAGCGGCTGCGGCTCGTCAGCTGTGGGGCCCCGACGCCAAGCTTGCTGCTGCTGCTGCCTTCTGCTGCTTCTCCCCAAACCTTTTCAAAATAAAAAGCATTTAAGTCAAAATTTTGATCTTTGCAAAACAAAAAAGCGTCTGAAGGCCGCTGACGCTGCCCCCCGATCGTCCTTCGCTCGAGCCACCAGCCGCAGCAGCAGCAGCAGCAGCAGCACCAGCAGCAGCAGCAGCCGCAGCCGCAGCCGCAGCAGCAGCAGCAGCACGATCGGAGACTGCGAGAAAGACTTGGCCAGGGGGCTTGCCTCTTTTGCTGCAGCTGGCTAGGGGCCTCTTTGGAGTTTTTCGGGGTTTTACCCCTCGCCCAAGAATACCATTTAAAGACAATATCCAAAAAGATCCACTGAGGCCTTAATTTGCTGCTAGCAGCAGTTGACTCGGCCTCTGGAGACAAGCCCGAAGCAAGCAGGAAGCAAGCTGCTGCCCAGCTGCTCCGCCCCCCGCTGCTGCTGCTGCTGCTGCTGCTGTTGCTGCTGCTGCTGCTGCTGCTGCTGCTGCTGCTGCTCTTTCGCCCACAAAATCGACGCCTGAGCGGCTGCGAGCGTTCGCTGGGGCTGGGGCCTCAAAGGGCTCCCGCTGCAGCAGTGAGGTCCCCCTAGGCAGCAGAAAGAAGAGCGGGGGGGCCCCAAAGCTGCAGCACTGCTGCTGCTGCTGCTGCTGCTGCTGCTGCTGCTGCTGCTCCCCCGCAGCAGGTATCTGGGCAGGCAGCAGGGACCTCTGCGCCTCCCGCTGGCAGCAGCGGCTGGAGCAAAGCAGCAGCAAAAGGGGGCTTCAAGTGCTGCACTGCCTGTCTGCTGCTTTGCTGCTGCCAAGCAGCCCCTGGGGCAGCCGGGGCCTTTTTTGCTGCTTCATCATCTGCGAAAAAGAGCTGCAGCACGAGCCCAGTCCCGTGTCTCTTGCTGCAGCAACTTTGAAAGAAGCTGCTGAATCTGCCACCTTTAAAGACACTTGAATAAGCAGCACTTGAGCTGTAGAGACACTTGAATAAGCAGCACTTGAGCTGTAGAGACACTTGAATTGGCAGCAGCATGGGCTTAGCCTCGGCCTGGCGCTGCAGCTGCTTCGGCCTAAAAGGCCTTAATGCAACGAGCCTGTTTCCTCTCCCTGCTGCTGCAGCTGCTGCAGCTAGAAAGGGGGCTGCTGCTGCTGCAGCAAGGAGGGGGCGCCTGCTGCTGCAGCTAGAAAGGGGCCTCTGCTGCTGCAGCGAGTAGAGGGCCCCTGCTGCTGCAGCTAGAAAGGGGCCTCTGCTGCTGCGGCGAGTAGAGGGCCCCTGCTGCTGCAGCTAGGACGTGTCCCCTGCAGCTGCCGGATGATTCAGTGGGGCCCTGAGGGGCCCTGCTGCTCCCATCTTCTGGCAAATTCGAGCGCAGCAGCAGCAGCTATCTTGCCTCTGTGGCACCCCAGCTCTTGCGAGCTGCTGCTGTGTGTGTCAGCTAGCTGCTGCTGCAGCAGTGGCAGTTTTGTGCTTCTCTTTTCGCTGATTTGAGCAGCCACCTGTTCTCCAGCCCTAAGCCCTAAACACTAAACCCTAAACCCTAAACTTTTAACACTAGCTGGAACTAGGATTTGCAGGGAAATGAATCAGGCATGAATACTGGAATAAGAAGACAGGAAAATAGCCGCCAGTAGCCAACTAAAGTTCAGCTTTGGGTCCCCACAGTCAACTGGAGGCTCTTTACAGCTTCCACTGGAGGCCCCAAAGGGCCTTTTTCTCGTTGAACCCTGGGCTCTTTAGCATTTATTCGAAAATGGACTAAGTGCAAAGTCTAGAGCACTTACTATCTAGGGGGACATGCGGAAAAAAAACCTCTTTGAGGGTTTTGGGACCCCCACTGCGGGAGCTGCACTACAAAGGCCCTGTGCTGCAGCTCTGAGGCATCTTTTCCTTTTCTTCTAAAATGTATTTTCGAGGATCGGCCTCAAGTTAGCAATTCAGTTGACTCAGTAAGAGAACAAAATGGACAGCGAGAGGGTTGGGCTGCCTGTGGAGCCCACAAGCTTCCTGGGGAAAGCTTAAAACAGCAATTTGCAGTGCAGCAGCCCCAAAAGAAAAAGGCAAAAGCCATTTTGGCTAGCTGCGGCTCTAAGAGCTGGCGGCTCCCGGCATCCCCGCTCCCGTAGTGAATAGGGAATAGAAGGAGAAGTCGCTCCCCTGCAAAGAAGCTTCTCTGCTGCTTCTCTTCGCTAATTCCTCAATCTCGTTTTGAGGGAACAAGAGCCAGCGGGGGACTGCAGCGCTTCTGGCTATTAGGGCTCCCAGTACTCTACAGCGCGAGGGCCATTTCTTCTTCGCATGGGTCCCTTAGGTGCTTCTCTGTCCCTGGTTCTTAGCCACTACTGCCAAAGCCAAGCACAGTAGCCTGCGAGGCTAAGCTGCTGAAATATTTAGTTGATGAAAGACCGTGAGAGCTCTCCAAGCCCAAAGCCCTTCTTCCATGCCTCCAAATTGCCCCAATCTGCCCTGGAAAAAATTGGCTTCCCAAGACCTGAGGAGAAGATAAGTGCGTTCCCAATGTGAAATCGTATCTTGAGATTTCTGGGGCTAAACTGGCCAGAGCATAGCCGCCAAGATATGTAACAGCGCCCTTGGCGCTATTCTGTATTCTTACAGTTTTGGCCGCCAACTGGGGCTTGAGCTTAGAAGCACACAAAGAGCTCCCACCATTTGCCCTAGCAGCTTCTGGGGCCCTTATAATGAGCCTAGCCCAGCCATAGTTGTAACGCGAGACACTACGGGGTCTTTATTATGGGCTAGATACTCCCAGCCGCAAATACCAGTTTTGGAGTTTAAAAAAATTGCTGACTCTGAATGCCACTCTTACACTGTTTCCCTTTTCGATACAAAGGTTCGTGCACATCTAATAAGGTCAAAGACGCCCAAATAGACACTGCAAAGCAAAGCTCCCAATTCTCACTTTATTCGCTTCTACCCGAGGCTTTGGATGTCCCTCGGTAACCTGCATGCTGTGGCGGTGGCACAGCTAGCCCCAATCTCTGGCCTTCCAACAAAACAGCCTGGGCTATTTACCCTGCAAGAGCCGGATTTTTCTAGCTACAAATTTTTTAACAATGTTTTATGTGAGGAATAATAAACGTCATCACGTTGTGGAGTTGTAGTGATGCCACATTGCAGTGCTACGCACTACACTGAGCGTCGCAAGCCGACCTCAATAATATCACAAACGCTTAACGAATCCTTCACATAACATGTGCAGGGACAAGCTCTTGTAGCCCCCAAAAGGCAAGAATAGTCACAAATGGCAGAGATAAGCAGCAGCAAGAAGATCCCACAGCAGCAGCAACAAGTGCATCGACAGCACTGTGGCTCGTCGTTAGACCCGTTGGCGAATCTCAAGAAGCAGCAGAAGGAATAAGCATTTTTAAATTCTAAAACAGACCCTTTAAGCAGTTCAAGCTCTCCGTTTCAAGAGCTAATCAACGGAAACCGGTATTGCTCTACAGCAAGAAATTCATACTGCACTCCAGGCGGCACGAACTAGCCCATGCATAGATATCCCAACTCTCCATATAGATACACATTCACCTATTTGCAGCCAGAACAATACATTCGCCTTCAATGAAAAATAAATTTACAAGTGATGTTCTTTTATTATTCCGCAGTAGCTGCTGCTCCCATATGATATGCTTTTCACCGTCGAATGCCTGCCCCCCCGAAACCAGATGTCCTAACTTATCTCTGTAGAGGGCCTCAGGCCTAGTTTGTTACTTGTACCAGGTTAGTTTAGTTAATAAGGCTATATTAATATATATTAAGCATTTCAGCCTCTCGAGATTATTTCTGCGCGATTTCGTAGTGCTGAAAACTGCAAATGCCTTCTTGTTCCCCATGACTTCATGTGTTCTTTATGAAGTCTTCTCTCGCCTCCTTCTGACTTCTTATTTTACTAACTTCCCGTAGTTTCCCCACTTCGTCTCCAAGCTGGCCTTTATCACCATCGTGGCGAAAATAGAGTCCGTCAGCACAGCCTTGAGCAATGTCTGCTATGTGGGTTCCCAGCCGTGTTTTTTTCTGTTATTTGCATCTGCGAGATGTTGGCCACAGCTGCCTCCTGGTGGCCATTATAGGGTGCACTTCAGTTTTTAATTTGCCGATTTTGCAACTGCCAGACGTCCCTCATGTTACTCTTCTATCCTTGCGATCTTTCTTATTTAGGTTCACCCCTGCAAACGCTATTTGCAGCATTGGTAGCATCTTAGTCAACTTCCCATTCATGCAAGTTCTACCCTTTTTACTTCTTATCCAGGTCCATATTTGACCATTCTAATCTCCCCACTGCTGGCCTCTTCGCATGCAGCAAACTGCACGTCACACATGCGAGCACTTCCTCTCTCTGTCTTTGAGGGCCAGCAACTCCTTCCTAAAAGTGGAAATATTAGCTTCGCAGCAGCTCCTCGATAAGCCCTTTATATTTGGTCCTTTATATTTGGTCCTGCAGTGCCCTCTGGATTGTTTAGGGATGGGGCGGAGATGTACAGCCGTTTCTTCTACCAACTTCTACATTCCTGTCCTCCTGCCTGTTGAAGGCCTCCTCTGGAGGGAGGAGAAGTGTAGCCGTTTCTTCCACCAACTTCTGCACTCCTGTCCTCCAGCGAGTCATTTCGAGTTAATGCTTTCCGAGGTTGTTTTGTTCTTAATTTTTGCTGGCTGTTTGCACTATATACAGTCGGAGGAGGCTTGCAGCCTCTCAGTTCCATGCTCAGCCAAACAACCGAATCCCAGAAAGATGTTATTAACAGCAAAGTTCCCACTAGAAGGTTCCTATTGACACTTCCACACCACACAGAGAGTTCCGTCAATGTGGGTTTAAGTTCATTTGCTCTCCATTAGCTGCTATGAAAAGTAGTACGTCTTCTGCAAAAGACGCATCCGCAGTGCTTGCTGCTAAACAGAACTAACAAAACTTCGTTGCGCCCCGCTACCAAGAATCCCTTCAAACTTATCTTGTAGCTCCTCAAAAATGAGAACTAGTGTTATACCTACACTAAACAGAATCCCTTGTGTCAGGGACACCTTGTCTGTGACCAACTGCTCTCGCCGCCACTCCGGGATGACCTCAGTTTCCTCAGCGTTAATACTATCGCTCACTGAATACCATCTTTTCACCAGAAGCAGGGTCCCTCAGACCCGCACTTTCACTAAATCCATGCCTGTTCTCTGGGTGAAAGTCAGCTTCTTTAGCATCTATACACAACACAATCACGTGCAGCCTCTATTTGATAGACTTCACCTCGCGTTTGCTGTAGCAGCTTCTGCTTCCAGCTGCGGGACGCCTCGGTGGGAATTTATCTTCCCAAAAAAATAATTCTTTTGCCCAGAAGCCCTTTCTCCAAGTTTTTGCAACTGCAAAGCTCCGTCCCCTTTAAATCTCAGGCTTGGCCACTAAACTCTGCTGCTGTGTCTTCCCTTCTGGAAGCCTATGCATGCACTTAGCATGCATTTCGCCTTTTTTTGCACTTTTATCGCTGCGCTGCAGCGCATTTTTCAACGCAAAAGGCCGCATATTCACACTGCAGCAAAACTGCTTCCTGGCTGGTACTGCTAAGTGGGGAAATCTTTGGCAAGATGTTCTTTGCCCTTACAATCAAAAGACATCGGGCCGAGTACCTCATGTCTCGAGATCCATTGCTCAATACCCTGGGGCTTTTTGCTTTTTAAAAATGTGTCTCTAGCTGAATTACTCCCTGGCCCAGATTAATATAAAGCCCTTTGTTTTTCTTCTGCCACATCTCTGTATGGGTGGCCCATGAGCCTCCCACACCGCAAGTTCCACCATTTCTCTCGAGTTTCTGAGAGAGATTGCAGCACCTTTAGTCAAAGCTTTTTATAGTTCGAGAGAAAAGCTGCCCACGAAAAATTCCAGCAGCTCTTCTGCAGACAAGTCTGCTCCTTGTGCTTCGATCTTCTCAAAGTTGAAGAAGTAGTCTTAGTAGTTTCCTCGCCAAGGACTAAGCGGCGATTTGACGGATTAATGCAACCCAATCTAATTTACAAAAACGTCGCGCCACATTACTTTTTAGATGCGGCTAGTTTATTAATTCTTTGCCCGTTTCTTCAAGAAATTTCCGGGAGTAATGCTTTACCACTACTCCTCTATTTCCCTAACAACGTTGCTCGGCTGCCAGTTGTGTAAACCTAGTCACTACAAATTGCAGGAAACTCTGCATGCTGTCTTTTTTTCGTTCTTTATTGGCTTAAAGACTATTTTTGCATTTTTCCACATTTATTTGAGCCTTAAAGTCCCTTAGCTACCCCTTGCTTCAACCGAGCCTGATCCCAATTTTAATTCTACCGGGATGCCGGGCTGGAGCCCAGGTTTGGATTTTTGCCTTTTGAGGAACAGCTCCTGTGGAATTGTGTCCAAGTCTTGAATATCTGCGATAAGTAATGAAGGAATATTTGTTTTACGTCCTTCAATAAGTTCACATACACTGAACATACTGCGGAAGTCTGCGTCATGCTCGCCTATTGGTTTGTTTTTGCAGGTGTTTGACTAGTCATTTCCTGTCTTGTGCAAAAATATAGGTCGTTTTGCTCATTTGCGCTATGTGCTCTTCTGCGAGAGGTTTTTTAGGAGGACAGAATTATACAATAACAACGAGAACAGCCACTAAACTGCAGCGAGCTTGGCTCAGCTTAGTGCGTAAGCGGATATTCTAACTGTCAGCAAATATACACACTAAGCCATTTCCATCCAGAAGACTAAATTAGCTCTTAATGGGAAATATAACCCCTTAAAAATGTTCTGTTATTGCTCTGGAGTGGCTGTTGGTGCCACAATTTGCCTGAGTCATCGCCAGCTGCTCCGCTGACAGTGCCAGCCCCATTTCTTGGCCTTTCTGCAGTTCGGCTTGGGCTTATTCTGCTCTTGGAAGCCCTTGAAGCCCAATTTCTGTAGCTAATTCGTCGCTAATTAGGCTTTAAAACTGTAATACTAAGGGCTGCAAGTTTTTGAGGCTGCGTGAGCGCAGCATTGTAGAGCCACACGGAAGAGGCAAGCGGCGTCCGATTTCGCCAGCGGGAATGAAAGGGAACAATAAAGAGTCTTTGGGGCTTTGCTGCCCCGCGGAGATCAAAAAAAGTTTGCTTTTTTGTAGAGGAAGCGCAAAAGGGCGAAAAATAAATTTTGGGTGGAACGTCGCTGACCGTAGCGAAGTGTGTACGCGCGGGAGGGGCAAAGAGTGGCGAATGTTTGCGAAGAAATGGAATTGCGAACTTTGGCGCTGCTGCTGGTTGTGTTTGGAGACAAGTTTTCGGAAAAGTTCTGCCTAAATAGAAGAGCCTGTGAGGTTAGGCGGACAGCTGGGGAGGGGGCTGCAGGCCAGGGCCTCGGCCAGGAAGGCAAAAAGGCGAAAGGCAGCGAAAGTGGGAGTTGGCGAAAAACATTAGGGGGTTTGCTTAGTAGTTGAAGCTCTATCTGGGGCTTCGAAGGGCCTCAGGGAGGGCAGAAGGGCACTAAAAAATCTAAAAAGGGTTTATTCGGAAAGCAATTCGAACTAAGAATTTGAGTTTTGCAGACTAAGGGGAGAAACTGCAGTCTGGGAGGAATCTGCAGTGCCCCTGGACCTTTGAGGCCTCGCAGCCCGCCGCGGCAAAAGCCGCGGCTAGGCGCGCCGCCCAGTAATAGAAAGCGCCGTTTTATTTATTTGTTTTGCTGCAATCAAAGTCCCTTTCTTGAAGCTGAGACGAAGGGAATGAGCAGCAGCAAACAGGCAGGCAGCAGCAGCAGCTTCTCTAGGGCCTAGCACTTCATACACAGGCCGGCTACGCCCGCAGGCCCGCTAGCTCTTCCCCCTGCAGCCCCAGGCTCTCTGTGGGGGTCTAGGGCCCCCGCAGCCGCCACAGGGGGGCCCCCCGACCAAACTAAGAGGCCCCTGGGGATTAAAAGGGGCCCTCGAGCCTTAAAAACAGCAGCAGAAGAGTCTTTGTGGCATTTTCTGGGGCCAAAACAATGTTCTTTTTCGCCTGAGAGGCAGGCGGGGGCCAGCGAGCCCGAGGGAGCCCCCGCTGGCCGCAGTCTTCGCTACTTTCGCAAAAGAAGACTAATTGACATTAATTAATTTATTTATTTGAAAAAACTGCAGCAGCAGCAGCGGGGGGAGGCGCCCCCCCGCGCCCCAGGTAAACACCACCTCCGCCGGCCAGCTAGTTCCGCTGCAGGCGGCCTCTGCCCCGGCCGAAGGCAAGATTTAGTGTCTTTTTGTTTATGAAAAAACTTAAAATAAAATTTAAAAACTGATGCAATAGAGGTACATCTCCTCCGAGGGCTCCGGGGGCCCCTGCTGGGGCGGGGGGTCGGCGGCGGGTGGCGAGTGGCTGGGGGGCAGGCGGCTCTTTCTCCCCCAAAACCGAGATTAAATTTATTGCTGAAGACCCCAGTTATTTATTTGAAAGATTTGAGTGCAAAAGGAAACAGGAAGTGGCTCCGAAAGCTGCGGACTGCTGCGGTGTACGTACACTGGACGACCGGGTGGTGGGTGTTTATGCTGCGATGCTGCTGAGCCCCCCTCCCCCTTTTCGCTCTTTGCTGCTGCTCTGTGTCCCTCCCTGCCTTTGCCTCTTCACCTGCTTTTTTGTCCCTTTGTTTCAACTGTTTAATTCGCTAGCGCCGCTGCAGCAGCAGCAGCAGCAGCAGCCGCAGCAACACCCCGGCCTCTCCCGCCGCTGCAGCGCAGCACGGGCAGCCCCTACACTCCCTTCTTCGCCCCGCCCCTTAAATAAGAGCCCCGGCCCTCCAGGTGTACGTACACTGCAGCCTGCTGCAGCAGCTGGCAGCAGCAAGTCGGGGGGGTTCTGGGGGTTGGGGGCAGCAGCCCTCTAGGGCCTGGGGCCGGCTGGAAGGTTTCTTTCGGAGTCCCTGCTGCTTTTGCTGCTGCTGCTGCTGCAGCTGCTGCAGCGGGACACACCCAGCAGCAGCCCTGCGAGCCGCAGCAGCGGCTGCCGCTACTCTCGCTGCAGCAGCAACTGCTGCAGCAGGTGTCTTCACCCTCCAGGGCGCTAGCCGCAGCTTCTGCTGCTGCAGCAGACAGCTGAACCTGCAGCTGTTCCTACAGAAGCCCCTTGGCTGCAGCAGCAGCAGCAGCAGCAGCAGCAGCGACAGCAGCAGCAGCTGCAGCTGGCCACTGCAGCAATGCAGCAGCAAACTTTCCCTACAGTTGCCGTGGAGAGGCAGCATGAAGCCTCCCCGGTCTCCGACAAGGCCTCAGAGGCCCCAAAGTAAGGACTCTAACCTAGCAGCAGCAGCAGCAGCAGCAGCAGCAGCAGCAGCAGCAGCAGGAGGTTGGGTGCCCGCAGCACAGCAAGTTCGAAGCTAACAAAGAGAGGCGGCAGCAGCAGCAAGCAGCGCAGCAGCAGCAGCAGCAGGACTTTGTTTGATAAGCAGCAGCAGCACATTCAGTAGCAGAAGCAGCCGCTGCAGCACGAGCAGCAGTGGAAGCAGCAGCTGAGTGAGAGTGCCGCCTCTGCATTTGCTGCTGCTGCTTTTGCTGCTGCTGCTGCTGCTGCTGCTGCTGCTGCTGCTGCTGCTGCAGGCTGGAGTGCATGGAGGACCCACGCATGGCTGAGTTTGAAGTGGTGAAGCCCCTTGGCCAGGGGCAGTACGGCAGAGTCTTCTTAGTGCGACACAAAGTGAGGCTTGCTGCTGCTGCTGCTGCTGCTGCTGCTGCTGCTGCTGCTGCTGCTGCTGCTGCTGCTGCTGCTGCTGCTTAATCTTCCGGCTTTGCTGCTGCTGCTGCTGCTGCTGCTGCTGCTGCTGCTGCCGCCCCAGCTGGCCCGCGCGTGCTGCTTGACCTCCCCCGCCCCCACCACCGCTGCTGCTGCTGCTGCTGCTGCTGCTGCTGCTGCTGCAGGAGACGGGCGCGCTGCTGTGCTGGAAAGCAGTGAAGTACGGGGGGCTGCGCGCGCGGGAGAAGCAGCAGCTAGTTGCTGAAGTGAACATCATGCGGGGACTGCAGCACGAAAACATCGTGCAGTACTTCGAGCACTTCGTGCTGCGGCAGCAGCAGCAGCTTTTCATTTTGATGGAGTTCTGCGACGCCGGCGATCTGCAGCAGCAAATCGAAAGGGCCCACAGGCACTTGGGGGGCATTCCCGAGGCCCGCGTGCTGCCCGTGCTGCTGCAGCTGCTGCGCGCGCTCGCCTACTGCCACGAGGGAGTCGGTACGCTGCTGCTGCTGCTGCTGCTGCTGCTGCTGCTGCTGCTGCTGCTGCTGCTGCTGCTGCTGCTGCGCGCGCTCGCCTACTGCCACGAGGGAGTCGGTAAGCCGCTGCTGCTGCTGCTGCTGCTGCTGCTGCTGCGCGCCCTCGCCTACTGCCACGAGGGAGTCGGTGAGCCGCTGCTGCTGCTGCTGCTGCTGCTGCTGCTGCTGCTGCTGCTCTCAGCGGCTATATCTGTTTGCGGCTTGCTGCTGCAGGCCCTGGGAAAGTGCAGGTGCTGCACCGCGACCTGAAGCCGTCGAACGTGTTCCTGAGCACGCGCAGCAGCAGCAGCAGCGCAGCAGCAGCGCAGCAGCAGCAGCAGCAGCAGCAGCAGCAGCTGGTGGTGAAGGTGGGGGACTTCGGCCTCTCCCGCCACCTCAGCCCCCACAGCTGCGCACACTCCTGTGTAGGTACACCCCACTACTGGAGCCCCGAGCTGCTGCGCGAAGGCCCCAAAAGCTACGGCAGCAAAACTGACCTCTGGAGTCTCGGCTGTTTGCTGTTCGAGATGGCCACGGGCCGGACTCCGTTTGCTGCAGCGCAGCACCTCCACCAGCTGCGACAATGCGTCGCCAAAGGACCCAGCCTCCCGATTCCGGGGTCTGCTGCTGCTGCTGCTGCTGCTGCTGCTGCTGCGGTGCTGTGGGTGGTCGTGGTTGTGCTGCTGCTGCTGCTGCTGCGGCGCTGCGGGGGGGGGTGGTGCTGCTGCTGCGCTGCTT